GAGAGAAAGAGAGAAGAGAGAGAGAGAGAGAGAGAGAGAGAGAGAGAGAGAGAGAGAGAGAGGAAGGTGAGGGGAGGGAGGGGAAGTAGTGTGGAGATAGAGAGACTGTCTCAGTGGTGGGCCACAGGGCTTGACTGGGAAGCCAACCTACACTCAGTAGTCTGGTCCACCCATCACAGAATGTTATGTTGACTTGAACATCATTCTATGTTCTAGAGAGCATTCTAGTCATTCTAATTATATGTTCTACAGGGTATTCTAGTCATTCTAATTCTATAGTCTACTACAGGCCTAGTTTATTGGCCGTGTCCACTGGTCAGACGGGCCGGCCGCCGTGGTGCTTCCTGCTGTGTCAGCCAGCAGACCGTACACACATAAAGTACCCTTGTCCCCCTTAGCTCTGATTGGACAGTTTGGTCAGGCTGCCGTGGAATGCTGAGACAGATTGTGGTGTGTGCGCGTGAGCTTCTTTTAGAATGGAATGGAGAGAGAGTTTTCATTCATCCTGTTCCCCGAGCTTTGTTAGGAAGACACAGTCTGTGTCCCAAATGGAACCCTGTTCCCTACATAGTGCACTCTTTTGACCAGGACCTGTCCAGGGGCAGTACTTGTACATCAAGCTGCCTCACGCCACGGCTCATGCTACTTCTAAAGGGAATAGGGTACCATTTGGGATAGTTAGGCATCCTGGACCAGCACACATTGTGCCCTCAATACTTTTGTAACAGATGTAACTGTTTTTAACTGTTTATCATAAGATTCATAGGCCTAAATTAACGCTTTTGGCATGTTGTGCTTTATTATGTAATTGTGAACATGATGAACAAGCCGTTTCCTCAGTAAATGAGCTCTCAGTATAGACCCACTCTCATCAGACATGCATCTGTAAAAACGACCATTTTATTCATCATTAAATGTCAGGGAGTTCCAACCTGAACATCCTCAAGAGATCAGTCCTACTTCATGGTCATCATGTTTATAGCACCCTAGTGGTGGGTGCTGTTCTAAGCTGATGGCCCGTTCAGTGTTCTGGCTCACTGCTTTTATCTGACTGATGCACTACCATTCAGTCATGGGGTCTATCTCAATACTCTAAAGTGGCTTCCTCCCCTCGTCTCCTTTCCCCTATCTACCCTGATGTGCTGATAGTGGACAGACGTCAGTCTTTTAGTAGGCTGTGTAATAAGCAGCCATCCTTCATATAGCTTTCACTTATCCTGTGTTTTCAGATCAGTGTAGATGGAGAGGAGATGAAGGAAAGAAGCCACATTAGACTATAGAGATGCAGCCCTGGCTCTCATCCAACCTTCACACAGCAGGACAGCAAAGCAGTGGTCTCATCGGCAGTGGTCTCATCAGCAGTGGTCTTATCAGCAATGGTCTCATCAGCAGTGGTCTCATCAGCAGTGGTCTCATCAGCAGTGGTCTAATCAGCAATGGTCTAATCAGCAGGGGTCTAATCAGCAGTGGTCTAATCAGCAGTGGTCTAATCAGCAGGGGTCTAATCAGCAGGGGTCTAATCAGCAGGGGTCTGGTCATTGACATCAGTACACTGTATTCCCTGCTCTGTTCACCCGTCCTGTTTGTTTCTCTGCTGCCATTGGACTCTGTGGCGTATCAGAGAGCATCCAGCTTGAAGCATCTGCTGTTGGGAGCTTGGCAAATTAATTAATTATTTTGTTTATTTATTGACTTGAAACATGAGGCAGAGCCACGGCCTGGGGGGATGTTCATGGGCACAGTCCCCTCCAACACTTTTTTCTCCACATTTTGTTGTGTTAAAGCCTGAATTTAAAATGGATTACATTTAGATTTTTTGTCACTGGCCTACACACAATATCCCATAATGTCAAAGTGGAATTATATTTTTGAAATGTATACAAATTAATAAAAAATTAATAAATGAAAAGATGAAATGTCTTGAGTCAATAAGTATTCAACCCCTTTATTATGTCAAGCCTTTAAATACATTCAGAGGTAAAAATGTGCTTAACAAGTCACATAATAACTTGTATGGACTCACTCTGTGTGTAATAATAGTGTTTAACAGGATTTTTGAATGACAACCTCATCTCTGTAGCCCACACATACAATTATCTGTAAGGTCCCTTAGTCAAGATGTACATTTCAAACACAGATTCAACCACAAAGACCAGGGAGGTTTTACAATGCCTCACAAAGAAGGGCACCTATTTGTAGATGGGTAAAAAAAAAGCAGACATTGAATATCCCTTTGAGTATGGTGAAGTTATTAATTACACTTTGGATGGTGTATCAAAACACCCAGTCACAACAAAGATACTGGCGTCCTTCCTAACTCAGTTGCCGGAGAGGAAGGAAAACACTCAGGGATTTCACCATGAGGCCAATGGTGACTTTAAAACAGTTAGAGTTTAATGGCTGTGATAGGAGAAAACTGAGGATGGATCAACAACATTGTAGTTACTCCACAATACTAACCTAATTGTCAGAGTGAAAAGAAGGAAGCCTGTACAATACAAAAATCTTCCAAAACATGCATCATGTTAACAACAAGGCTCTAAAGTAATACTGCAAAACATTTGGAAAAGCAATTAACTTTTTGTCCTGAATACAAAGTGTTATGTTTGGGTCAAATCCAATACAACACATTATTGAGTACCACTCTCCATATTTTCAAGCATAGTGGTGGCTACATCATGTTATGGGTATGCTTGTAATCGTTAAGGGCTGGTGTGTTTTTCAGGATACAAAATAAAGTGAATGGAGCTAAGCACAGGCAAAATCCTAGAGGAAATCCTGGTCCAGTCTGCTTTCCACCAGACACCTTTCAGCAGGACAATAACCTAAAACACAAGGCCACATCTACACTGGAGTTGCTTACCAAGAATACAGTGAATGTTCCTGAGTGGCCAAGTGACAGTTTTGACATAAATCTACTTGAAAATCTATGGCAAGACCTGAAAATGGTTGTCTAGCAATGATCAACAACCAATTTGACAGAGCTTGAAGAATTTTGGGCAAATGCTGCACAATCCAGGTGTGGAAAGCTCTTAGAGACCAAGAAAGACTCACAGCTGTAATTGCTGCCAAAGGTGCTTCTACAAAGTATTGACTCAGGGGTGTGAATACTTATGTAAATGAGATATTTCTGTAAGATTTCTAAAAACATGTTTTCACTTTATCATTATGGGGTATTTTGTGTAGATGGGTGCGGAAAAAAACACATACTTTATCCATTTTGAATTCAGGCTGTAACACAACAAAATGTGGAATAAGGGGTATGAATACTTTCTGAAGGCACTGTAACTTGATTATGTGGATGTTATGGTCTTAGCTAAAAGTGTTAAAAGACCTACGTAAAGTACTTAAGGATATTCCCCAGTGGCTTGTTGAGTGTGTTCTTGTTAAATCATTCAAACCCTCTCCACCCTAACCCAATCCTGACTGGTGTGTTTTCTCCTACCCTCTCCACCCTAACCCAATCCTGACTGGTGTGTTTTCTCCTACCCTCTCCACCCTAACCCAATCCTGACTGGTGTGTTTTCTCCTACCCTCTCCACCCTAACCCAATCCTGACTGGTGTGTTTTCTCCTACCCTCTTCACCCTAACCCAATCCTGACTGGTGTGTTTTCTCCTTCTAGGGCAGAAAAAACTGAAGTGTTAAGCGACGATCTTCTGCAGGTAAATAAGTGTGTGTGTGTGTGTGTGTGTGTGTGATCTATGGCCTACCTGTCAGTATGGTGTCTGATACGTGTTGCTGTGCTGGTTTAGGTGGAGAAGCGGTTGGACCTGGTCAAACAGGTGACCCACAGCACTCACAAGAAGCTGACCGCCTGCCTGCAGGGCCAGCAAGGCGCCGACGAGAGAGAGAAGAAATCAGTCAAGTCTCCCTCGGTGAGCACCTATCAGAGACTGGTTTATTCAATGTGTCAGTGAGTTTCTATCTGCCCCTCCCTATTCAAATAAACCAGGAATAAATACAAATCCATAATATCCACATTTTCCCCCTGTTCAGACAGTGACAGAGGAGTATGTTCTGCTACCTTGTGCTGTGATATGAAATACTGTATGTTAATACTTTCTGTCTTGTATCAGAAAAAGCTACCACTAACCATCCTGGCACAATGCATGGTAGAAGGAGCTGCTGTGCTGGGGGACGACTCTCTACTAGGGTGAGTCCCTGTATACGCACACACACACACACACACACACACACACACACACACACACACACACACACACACACACACATGCACACACACACAAACACACACACAGACACGCAAGCACACAAGCACAAACGCACACACACAAACACGCACTCACGCACTCTCAATCTCGCTCTCTCTCTCTCTCTCTCTCTAGCTTTCTCTCTCTCTCTAGGTCTCTCTCTCTCTGTCTCTGTCTCTGTCTCTGTCTCTGTCTCTGTCTCTGTCTCTGTCTCTGTCTCTCTCTCTCTCTCTCTCTCTCTCTCTCTCTCTCTCTCTCTCTCTCTCTCTCTCTCCTCTCTCTCACTCCTCTCTCTCTCTCCTCTCTGTCTCTCTCACTCACACATATTTTTTCAGTTGATTCTGCCATAATTCCTCTCTGTCCTCCTTGACCTTGACCTCTATCCGATGCATTCTGATTAGCTGAGGCCGGGTCCTAGCTGACGTTGTGATTGGCTATGGCTGCGTTGTGATTGGTTATGGCTGTGGCTGACATTGTGATTGGTTGTGGCCGGGTCCTAGCTGATGTTGTGATTGACTGGGACCTAGCTGACATTGTGATTGGCTGTGGCAGGGACCTAGCTGACGTTGTGTTTGGCTGTGGCAGGGACCTAGCTGACGTTGTGATTGGCTGTGGCAGGGACCTAGCTGACGTTGTGTTTGGCTGTGGCAGGGACCTAGCTGACGTTGTGTTTGGCTGTGGCAGGGACCTAGCTGACGTTGTGTTTGGCTGTGGCAGGGACCTAGCTGACGTTGTGTTTGGCTGTGGCAGGGACCTAGCTGACGTTGTGTTTGGCTGTGGCTGGGACTTATCTGAGGTTGTGATTGGCTCTGTTCCCTTGACAGGAAGATGCTGAACCTGTGTGGGGAGACAGAGGAGAAGCTGGCCCAGGAACTTATTCAGTTTGAGTTCCAGATAGAGAAGGATGTGGTGGAGCCTCTCTATGAGCTGGCTGAGGTGAGTCCTACTGTCTCTATGATGATGTGAGTCCTACTGTCTCTATGAGCTGGCTGAGGTGAGTTCTACTGTCTCTATGATGAGGTGAGTCCTACTGTCTCTATGACGAGGTGAGTCCTGCTGTCTCCATGATGAGGTGAGTCCTACTGTCTCTATGAGCTGGCTGAGGTGAGTCCTACTGTCACTATGATGAGGTGAGTTCTACTGTCTCTATGATGAGGTGAGTCCTACTGTTTCTATGAGCTGGCTGAGGTGAGTCCTACTGTCTCTATGATGAGGTGAGTCCTACTGTCTCTATGATGAGGTGAGTTATACTGTCTCTATGATGAGGTGAGTCCTACTGTCATTATGATGAGGTGAGTCCTACTGTCACTATGATGAGGTGAGTCCTACTGTCTCTATGATGAGGTGAGTCCTACTGTCACTATGATGAGGTGAGTCCTACTGTCTCTATGATGAGATAAGTCCTACTGTCACTATGATGATGTGAGTCCTGCTGTCACTATGATGAGGTGAGCCCTACTGTCTCTATGATGAGGTGAGTCCTACTGTCTCTATGATGAGGTGAGTCCTACTGTCTCTATGATGAGGTATTATTGTCTGTCCAGAGACTAGGAGAGCCCACACCATTCACCATTACTATCTCTGAGTGACGGTGATCGTCAGACACAATGTCAGCATGTTCATTATTGTCTATTACCTTCAGGGTGCTAGAATATTCCTCCCATCTCAACTCCAAGATAACTAGTAGATAAATGAATGTAGTCATGTGTGGAGATACATTATAGAGGAGGTTTCATCTGTTCCTGTCTCTTCCCAGGTGGACATCCCCAACATCCAGAAACAGAGGAAACATTTAGCCAAGTTGGTCCTGGACATGGACTCAGCTCGCACACGGTGAGGGATGGAATGCATGTTAACATACAGGCTGGGACCTTTTACCCTCTTCACTGATCACTTCTTAAGAGATGCTCATGTTTAGAATAATGCTTAGACAAGCATGTTCCTTCCCTCCGTGGTTGTGTCTCAAATCGCACCCTAATCCCTATATAGTGCACTACTTTTTAACAAGCTCTGGTCAAAGGTAGTGCACTATATAGCCTAGAATAGGATGCCATTTGGGATGCAGCCTGTGTGTTGGTGTTCCATCCCCCCTCCTAACTCTTCTTCTTTCCCCTCCATGCCTGTAGGTTTCACCAGTCGTCCAAGTCCTCCAGTCACCCTAGCAATCTGCAGGCGGGCGGGGCCAAGGGGGAGGCCCTCAGAGAGGAGATGGAGGAGGCAGCCAATAGGATGGAGATCTGCAGGGTGAGTCACAGGGTTCTAGTGGTTCAGGCTCCTCTTCCTTCACCTACTGTAGTCCCCCACACCATGAAACTGCATTAACCACCACGAGGTTACAGGCTGCATTAACTGCCACAAGGTTACAGGCTGCATTAACTGCCACAAGGTTACAGGCTGCATTAACCACCACAAGGTTACAGGCTGCATTAACCACCACAAGGTTACAGGCATCATTAACCACTACAGGGTTACAGGCTGCATTAACCACTACAAGGTTACAGGCTGCATTAACCACCACAAGGTTACAGGCTGCATTTACCACTACAAGGTTACAGGCTGCATTTACCACTACAAGGTTACAGGCTGCATTAACCACCACAAGGTTACAGGCTGCATTAACCACCACAAGGTTACAGGCTGCATAAAGGTTACAGGCTGCATTTACCACTACAAGGTTACAGGCTGCATTAACCACCACAAGGTTACAGGCTGCATTAACCACTACAAGGTTACAGGCTGCATTAACCACTACAAGGTTACAGGCTGCATTAACCATCACAAGGTTACAGGCTGCATTAAGGTTACAGGCTGCATTAACCACTACAAGGTTACAGGCCGCATTAACCACTACAAGGTTACAGGCCGCATTAACCACTACAAGGTTACAGGCCGCATTAACCACTACAAGGTTACAGGCTGCATTAACCACCACAATGTTACAGGCTGCATTAACCACCACAAGGTTACAGGCTGCATTAACCACTACAAGGTTACAGGCTGCATTAACCACTACAAGGTTACAGGCTGCATTAACCACCACAAGGTTACAGGCTGCATTAACCACTACAAGGTTACAGGCTGCATTAACCACCACAAGGTTACAGGCTGCATTAACCACTACAAGGTTACAGGCTGCATTAACCACCACAAGGTTACAGGCTGCATTAACCACTACAAGGTTACAGGCTGCATTAACCACTACAAGGTTACAGGCTGCATTAACCACCACAAGGTTACAGGTTGCATTAACCACTACAAGGTTACAGGCTGCATTAAGGTTACAGGCTGCATTTACCACTACAAGGTTACAGGCTGCATTAACCACTAAAAGGTTACAGGCTGCATTAACCACTACAAGGTTACAGGCTGCATTAACCACTACAAGGTTACAGGCTGCATTAACCATCACAAGGTTACAGGCTGCATTAAGGTTACAGGCTGCATTAACCACTACAAGGTTACAGGCCGCATTAACCACTACAAGGTTACAGGCTGCATTAACCACCACAATGTTACAGGCTGCATTAACCACCACAAGGTTACAGGCTGCATTAACCACTACAAGGTTACAGGCTGCATTAACCACTACAAGGTTACAGGCTGCATTAACCACCACAAGGTTACAGGCTGCATTAACCACTACAAGGTTACAGGCTGCATTAACCACCACAAGGTTACAGGCTGCATTAACCACTACAAGGTTACAGGCTGCATTAACCACCACAAGGTTACAGGCTGCATTAACCACTACAAGGTTACAGGCTGCATTAACCACTACAAGGTTACAGGCTGCATTAACCACCACAAGGTTACAGGCTGCATTAACCACCACAAGGTTACAGGCTGCATTTACCACTACAAGGTTACAGGCTGCATTAACCACCACAAGGTTACAGGCTGCATTAACCACCACAAGGTTACAGGCTGCATAAAGGTTACAGGCTGCATTTACCACTACAAGGTTACAGGCTGCATTAACCACCACAAGGTTACAGGCTGCATTAACCACTACAAGGTTACAGGCTGCATTAACCACTACAAGGTTACAGGCTGCATTAACCATCACAAGGTTACAGGCTGCATTAAGGTTACAGGCTGCATTAACCACTACAAGGTTACAGGCCGCATTAACCACTACAAGGTTACAGGCCGCATTAACCACTACAAGGTTACAGGCCGCATTAACCACTACAAGGTTACAGGCTGCATTAACCACCACAATGTTACAGGCTGCATTAACCACCACAAGGTTACAGGCTGCATTAACCACTACAAGGTTACAGGCTGCATTAACCACTACAAGGTTACAGGCTGCATTAACCACCACAAGGTTACAGGCTGCATTAACCACTACAAGGTTACAGGCTGCATTAACCACCACAAGGTTACAGGCTGCATTAACCACTACAAGGTTACAGGCTGCATTAACCACCACAAGGTTACAGGCTGCATTAACCACTACAAGGTTACAGGCTGCATTAACCACTACAAGGTTACAGGCTGCATTAACCACCACAAGGTTACAGGTTGCATTAACCACTACAAGGTTACAGGCTGCATTAAGGTTACAGGCTGCATTTACCACTACAAGGTTACAGGCTGCATTAACCACTAAAAGGTTACAGGCTGCATTAACCACTACAAGGTTACAGGCTGCATTAACCACTACAAGGTTACAGGCTGCATTAACCATCACAAGGTTACAGGCTGCATTAAGGTTACAGGCTGCATTAACCACTACAAGGTTACAGGCCGCATTAACCACTACAAGGTTACAGGCTGCATTAACCACCACAATGTTACAGGCTGCATTAACCACCACAAGGTTAAAGGCTGCATTAACCACTACAAGGTTACAGGCTGCATTAACCACCACAAGGTTACAGGCTGCATTAACCACTACAAGGTTACAGGCTGCATTAACCACTACAAGGTTACAGGCTGCATTAACCACCACAAGGTTACAGGTTGCATTAACCACTACAAGGTTACAGGCTGCATTAAGGTTACAGGCTGCATTAACCACTACAAGGTTACAGGCTGCAATAACCACCACAAGGTTACAGGCTGCATTAACCACTACAAGGTTACAGGCTGCATTAACTACCACAAGGTTACAGGCTGCATTAACCACCACAAGGTTACAGGTTGCATTAACCACTACAAGGTTACAGGCTGCATTAACCACTACAAAGTTACAGGTTGCATTAACCACTACAAGGTTACAGGCTGCATTAACCACTACAGGGTTACAGGCTGCATTAACCACTACAAGGTTACAGGCTGCATTAACCACCACAAGGTTACAGGCTGCATTAACACTACAAGGTTACAGGCTGCATTAACTACCACAAGGTTACAGGCTGCATTAACCACCACAAGGTTACAGGCTGCATTAACCACTACAAGGTTACAGGCTGCATTAACCACTACAAAGTTACAGGTTGAATTAACCACCACAAGGTTACAGACTGCATTAACCACTGCAAAGTTACAGGTTGCATTAACCACCACAAAGTTACAGACTGCATTAACCACCACAAGGTTACAGGCTGCATTAACCACTACAGGGTTACAGGCTGCATTAACCACTACAAGGTTACAGGCTGCATTAACCAATACAAGGTCACAGGCTGCATTAACCACTACAAGGTTACAGGTGGCATTAAGGTTAAAGGTCATTTCTTATCCTCTTTTCCAGGATCAACTATCAGCAGATATGTATAATTTTGTGGCCAAAGAAATAGACTATGCAAACTACTTTCAGACGGTTAGTACATTTTCTGAATCAATGCATTTACCCTTCAGATGACCTTGACTCATGTTACAGTCATATAGCTGAGCAGGTGTTTAAACCTCACCTTTTTTACCCCTCTGTCCCTCTGTTTCCCTGTGTGTCTCTCTGTCCCTTTGTCTCTCTGTCCCCTCTCTGTCCCTGTGTCTCTATCTCCCTCGCTGTCCCTTTGTCTCTCTGTCCCCTCTCTGTCCCTGTGTCTCTGTCTCCCTCTCTGTCCCTGTGTCTCTGTCTCACTCTCTGTCCCTGTGTCTCTGTCTCCCTCTCTGTCCCTGTGTCTCTGTTCCCCTCTCTGTCCCTGTGTCTCTGTCCCCTCTCTGTCCCTGTGTCTCTGTCCCCCTCTCTGTCCCTGTGTCTCTGTCCCCTCTCTGTCCCTGTGTCTCTGTCCCCTCTCTGTTCCTGTGTCTCTGTCCCCCTCTCTGTCCCTGTGTCTCTGTCCCCTCTCTGTCCCTGTGTCTCTGTCCCCCTCTATGTCCCTGTGTATCTGTCTCCCTCTCTGTCCCTGTGTCTCTGTCCCCCTCTCTGTCCCTGTGTCTCTGTGCGTCTCTCTGTAGCTCATAGAGATCCAGGCAGAATATCACAGGAAGTCTCTAGAGATCCTCCAGAGTGTCTTGCCCACCATTAAAGCTCACCAGGGTGAGTTAATGTGTGTGTATGTGTGTGTGTGTGTGTGTGTGTGCACATTTACGCGTGTCTGTGTGTGTGTGTGAGCTCGTCCATGCCTGCACATGTGTATGTGTCCATGCCTGTCTGCTCCTCGTGTGCCTAACTGTTGTATGATGTGTTGTGCCACCACAGAGGCGTGGGTGGAGAAGCCGTCATATGGCAAGGCCCTGGAGGAACACCTGACCATCAGCAGTAGAGAGATCGCCTTCCCCATCGAGGCCTGTGTCACTATGCTGCTGGAGTGTGGCATGCAGGAGGAGGTAGAGAAAAAAATGAAGCCTACTTAACACTAAGTTTCCCAGACCCAGATGAAGACTACTTAACACAAAGTTTCCCAGACCCAGATGAAGACTACTTAACACTAAGTTTCCCAGACCCAGATGAAGACTACTTAACACAAAGTTTCCCAGACCCAGATGAAGACTACTTAACACTACATTTCCCAGACCCAGATGAAGAATACTTAACACTAAGTTTCCCAGACCCAGATGAAGGCTACTTAACACTAAGTTTCCCAGACCCAGATGAAGACTACTTAACACTACTTTTCCCAGACCCATATGAAGAATACTTAACACTAAGTTTCCCAGACCCAGATGAAGACTACTTAACACTAAGTTTCTCAGACCCAGATGAAGACTACTTAACACTAAGTTTCCCAGACCCAGATGAAGACTACTTAACACTACTAAGTTTCCCAGGCCCATATAAAGCCTACTTAACACTACTAAGGTTCCCAGACCCATATGAATACTACTTAACACTACGTTTCCCAGACCCAGACGAAGACTACTTAACACTACTAAGTTTCCCAGACCCAGACGAAGACTACTTAACACTAAGTTTCCCAGACCTAGATGAAGACTACTTAACACTAATATGTTTCTCAGACCCAGATAAAGCCTACTTTACACTACTAAGTTTCCCAGACCCCGATGAAGCCTACTTAAGACTATTACTTTTCCCAGACCTAGATGTAGCCTACTTAACACTAAGTTTCCCAGACCCAGATGAAGACTACTTAAAAATAGTAAGTTTCCCAGACCCAGATGAAGACTACTTAACACTACTAAGTTTCCTAGGCCCATATAAAGCCTACTTAGCACTACTAAGGTTCCCAGACCCATATGAATACTACTTAACACTACGTTTCCCAGACCCAGATGAAGACTACTTAACACTAAGTTTCCCAGACCCAGATGAAGACTACTTAACACTAAGTTTCCCAGACCCAGATGAAGACTACTTAACACTAAGTTTCCTAGACCCAGATGAAGACTACTTAACACTAAGTTTCCCAGACCCAGATGAAGACTACTTAACACTAAGTTTCCCAGAACCAGATAAAGCCTACTTAACTCTACTAAGTTTCCCAGACCCAGATAAAGCCTACTTAACACTACTAAGTTTCCCAGACCCAGATAAATCCTACTTAACACTACTAAGTTTCCCAGACCCAGATGAAGACTCCTTAACACTAAGTTTCCCAGACCCAGATGAATACTACTTAACACTACTAAGTTTCCCAGGCCCATATAAAGCCTACTTAACACTACTTAGTTTCCCAGACCCAGATATAGCCTACTTAACACTATTACGTTTCCCAGACCCAGATAAAGCCTACTTAACACTATTAAGTTTCCCAGACCCAGATAAAACCTACTTAACACTACTACATTTCCCAGACCCAGATGAAGACTACTTAACACTAAGTTTCCCAGAATCAGATGAAGACTACTTAACACTAAGTTTCCCAGACCCAGATGAAGACTACTTAACACTAAGTTTCCTAGACCCAGATGAAGCCTACTTAACACTACGTTTCCCAGACCCAGATGAAGACTACTTAACACTACTAAGTTTCCCAGACCCAGATGAAGACTACTTAACACTAAGTTTCCCAGACCCAGATGAAGCCTACTTACCACTACTATGTTTCCCAGACCCAGATGAAGCCTACTTAAGACTATTACTTTTCCCAGACCTAGATGTAGCCTACTTAACAATAAGTTTCCCAGACCCAAATGAATACTACTTAACACTAGTACGTTTCCCAGACCCAGATAAAGCCTAGTTAACACTACTAAGTTTCCCAGACCCAGATAAAGACTGTTTAACACTAAGAGTCCCAGACCCAGATGAAGACTACCTAACACTAAGTTTCCCAGACCCAGATGAAGACTACTTAACACTACAAAGTTTCCCAGACCCAGATAAAGCCTACTTACATATACTTTGTTTCCCAGACCCAGATATAGCCTACTTAACACTACTACGTTTCCCAGACCCAGATAAGGCCTACTTAACACTACTAAGTTTCCCAGACCCAGATGAAGACTACTTAACACTAAGTTTCTCAGACCCAGATGAAGACTACTTAACACAAAGTTTCCCAGACCCAGATGAAGACTACTTAACACTACACAAAAAAAAAAAAAAAATGTATGCACGCATGACTCTAAGTCGCTTTGGATAAAAGCGTCTGCTAAATGGCATATTATATTATTTATATATTTATATATTTATACTAAGTTTCCCAGACCCAGACGAAGACTACTTAACACTACTAAGTTTCCCAGACCCAGATGAAGTCTACTTAACACTAAGTTTCCCAGACCCAGATGAAGACTACTTAACACTAGTAAGTTTCCCAGACCCAGATAAATCCTACTTAGCACTACTAAGTTTCCCAGACCCAGATGAAGCCTACTTAACACTATTACGTTTCCCAGACCCAGATGAAGCCTTCTTAACACTACGTTTCCCAGTCCCAGATTAAGCCAATTTAACGCTGCTTTACATTCTGATTTCAGAATAGAGTTAATATAGGATTTAGCTGTTAGAGTGCTTATTGTAGACAGAGATATTGTATGTACTACATTTATGTTTCAGTATTTATCTCTATGATGGCCCTGCTCTGACTCTCTGTCTTCCTGACTCCCTGTCTTCTTGTCTTCCTGTCTTGCTGACTCCCTGTGTGTATAGGGTCTGTTCAGAGTGGCCCCCTCGGCCTCCAAGCTGAAGAAGCTGAAGGCCTCCCTGGACTGTGGTGTTATGGATGTACAGGAGTATTCAGCTGACCCTCACGCCATCGCAGGTTACCTTACACACCCACACACACACATATAGACACACACACAGTATTTGAAAATACTCAAATACACTGACAAATACACTCCCATGCATTTAACACAGGTATTTGAAAATAGTATTTGAAAGAAGTATTTGAAAATACTCTCAAATATAATTTGATCGACTGTTTCGTTTTTACAAATAGCCATTAAAATACACAAAATTCAAATACACAGAAAAAAAGTATTTGAAATACTACACTGAACAGAATATAAACGCAACATGTAAAGTGTTGGTCCCATGTTTCATTAACTGAAATAAAAGATCCCAGAAATGTTCCATACTCACAAAAAGCTTATTTATCTCAAATTTGTGAATACATTTGTTTACATCCCTGTTAGTGACCAATTCTTCTTTGCTAAAATAACCATCCACCTGACAGGTGTGGCATATCAAGAAGCTGATTAAACAGCATGATCATTACACAGGTGCACCTTGTGCTGGGGACAATAAAAGGCCACTCTAAAATGTGCAGTTTTGTCACACAACACAATATCACAGATGTCTCAAGTTTTGAATGAGCATGCTGACTGCAGAAATGTCCACCTGCATTCTCAGTCATGCGAAATCCATAGATTAGGGCCTAATGAATGTATTTCAATTAACTGATTTCCTTATATAAACTGTAACTGTAACTCAGTAAAATCTTTGAAATTGTTGCATGTTGCATTTGTATTTTTGTTCAGTATATATACTCAAATACCCATGTATTTGAACCCAGGTCTGACACACACACACACACACACACACACACACACACACACACACACACACACACACACACACACACACACACACACACACACACACACACACACACACACACACACCATCACAGATGAATTTACACCCACACACACGCCTCGCACCTCTCTCTCTCTGGCGCAGGCTCTGGTCTCCATAACAACAAGCCTTTAGCTAGCTCCATTGTCTATATATAACCATCAGATAGAACTCTGCTTTCAGGAGATCCATGCCTCCAGAAATATATCAATCAATGTTAGGTCAACACAATCAAGTAGAGGCTTCTTGTGTTTGTGGACTGTTGTCTTTCACACCTTGTTGCCTATTTCCTTGTTGCCTGTTTCCTAACATCCTCCTCCTCCAGTAGAGAGCTGGCCTGCATCCCAAATGACACCATATTCCCTCTACAGTGTACTACTTTTGACCCCTGGCCCATATGGCTCTGGTCAAAAGTAGTGCATTATGTAGGGATTAGGGAGCCATTCAAGGAGACCACCATCGTCCCAGTGTCCAAGAAAGACAATGTGACATGCCCAAATGACTATCGCCCCATCGCACTGACGCTGGTCATCATGAAGTGCTTCGAGATGCTGGTCATGGCTCACGTCAAGGCCAGCTTGCCAGGCACACTGGACCCACTCCAATTTGAATACCGCTCCAACAGATCCAAGGTTCAATTTCCATCGCTATTCACGCGGCCGTAACACATCTGGACAAGAAGAACTCCTATGTGAGAATGCTGTTCATTGACTACAGTTCAGCATTCAACACACTATTGTTCCCTCCAAGCTTAACACCAAGCTCAGAGCATCCTCAGTTCTCTGCTGTACTACCTGTTCACCCACGACCGTGTAGTTTTCCAAGACACCACGTCATCATCAACTTTGCTGACGACACCACGGTTGTAGGCCTGATAACCAACAATGACGAGTCAGCCTATAGGGAGGAGATAAGTGAACTGGCATTGTGGTGCCAGGACAACACCCTCTCCTTCAACGTCAGCAAAACAAATGAGTTCATTGTTGACTCAGGAAGCAGAGGAGGGAACATGCCGGGATCCACATCGTCAGGATTGCAGTAGATGGAGTCAGCTGTTTTAAGTTCCTCTGCGTCCACATCACCGAAGACTTGACATGGACCAACAACATCACCACTCTTGTCAAGAGGGCGCAGCAGCGTCTCTACTTCCTAAGGCAGCTGAAGAAATTTGGCATGCCACCCCGGGTCCTCTCCAAATACTAACACTGCACCATCGAGAGCATCCTGACCGGTTCCATAACGGCCTGGTACTGCTCCGTCCACGACCTCAAGGCCCTCCAGCGGGTGGTGAAGACGGCCCAGTACATCATTGGACCGTGCTCCCACCCATCCAGGACATCTACTCGAAACGGTGCCTGAGGAAGGCATGCAGCATCATCAAGGACCCCACACACCCCAGCCACGAGCTGTTCTCTCCCTCACCATCAGGCAGATGGTATCGGAGCATGAGGTCTGATACTAAAAGGCTCAGAGACAGTTTCTGTCTACAAGCCATCAGACTGTTGAACACTTGAACTGGATTGAGAAACTGCTCTGATTCTCCGCACCTTAGCACAAATGCACTCACTCACACACACACACACACACGCACACACATATACTACTATTCATTCTACACACATCACAACTGCTGCTACCAGACTCTTATTATGATACTGCACAATTAAACTTGCCCCCCAATCCCCCCTTCCCCAAAACACGTGTAAATATTGGACTATAAATTGTGCCTTCCTGTATTATACTGATGCTAAAATGTTTATTCTATTGAGCCATTTACTTTATGTTCCTATTATTATCTTTCATTAGTTCTTATTGTTGTTGCATTGTCGAGTAAGGAACATGCAAGTAAGCATTTCATTGGATGGTGTATGCCATGTGTATCCCGTATATACGACCAATAAAACTTGACACCTGAAACTTGATTTGGCCCTGGAGTTGAGTTCAGCTGTGGGGCTAGAATAACATATCCCTTAACCTTTCCCAAATGATCTGCTTGTGTTTTGCCCTAGATGTTCTCTATCCTAAAGGCTTCTTTGTAATGTTGCTGTCCACTTCCTTGAGTAATCGGAGGATGGCAGCGTTGTGTGTGTGTGTTCTCATCAGTATTCTGAACAGAGAAAACCACACCTCCCCTAGGCCTATTGAGATTATCTCTCTTTCTTTCTCTCTTCCTTGCTTTCTCTCTCCATCCCTCTCTCTCTCTTCCTCCCTTTCTCTCTCCATCTCTCTTTCTCCATCCTCCTGTCCCTCTCTCTCTCTCCTCTCTCTCTCTCTCTCTCTCTCTCTCTCTCTCTCTCTTCCCATCTCTCTCTCTCTCTCCCTCCCTCCCTCCCTCCCTCCCTCCCTCCCTCCCCTCCCTCCCTCCCTCCTCCCTCCCCCCCTCTTTCTCCATCCCGTTCTCTTTCTCTCTACCTCTCTCTCTCTCTCCCTCCGTCTCTCCATCCCTGTCTTCCGCAGGGGCTCTGAAATCATACCTCCGTGAGCTTCCAGAGCCACTGATGACCAGTGAACTTTACGAGGACTGGATTCAGGCGTCAAAGTGAGTAGAGATTCCCTTCATAACCACAGCATCTCTACTACAGATAACAGATCCCTTGCAATGCCAGGGTTGTGGGTTCGATTCCCACGGGGGGCCAGTATGAAAAAATATATAAAATGTATGCACTCACTAACTGTAAGTCGCTCTGGATAAGAGCGTCTGCTAAATGACAAAAAAAAAATAAAAAAAAATAAAAAACACAGCATCTCTACTACAGATAATAGATCCCTTCATAACTACAGCATCTCTACTACAGATAACATATCCCTTCATAACTACAGCATCTCCACTACAGATAACAGATCCCTTCATAACCACATCATATCTACTACAGATAACAGATCCCTTCAAACACGCATCTCACACAATTAAA